GACAAGCAGATCAGAGACTGGTACCAGTCCAGAACTGTCATCTGCCATGACTACAGCCGCTACTTTGTCATCATCGAAGACCTGAAGGACAAGGTAAGAGAAAACAGACACACATGGTTGAGTTTCTGAGTTAAACCTTCACTTTGAGGTTGTATAGTTCTAAGCTAGTTTGTAGTGCATTAGGAGCTTTGACAGTTAAAATATTAGCTTAAGAATCAGGAAACCCATCAGTGACATGTGACAAGAAGCCCCCCTTATCAGGAAGCAAATAACACAAACACAGAGCATAACATGCTTATTGTCAAAGCTGTCATACCACATCCATTCCTGTGCATCACAACCTGCTGTCAGTGTTCAGAGATGTAGAAATAATTAAACAAGCAAACAACTGATGACAAATGAAGTAAAACATTTTCACAGTTGAACATCTTGTCCACTAAAAAGGTTTGTTGGATGACTTTTGTGAAACAAATACAACCATGTTATTTTGAGAGAATTAATTTGTAATTAGACACATTTAAATGACTTACATTACCATTTTTTTGAGTGGTGTATTTATGTTTTTTTAGTCATGTTTTTTTGTGAATTTAGGAACGTAATTATCCACCTGAGAAACATTCCTCCTGAGTATATTTTTGAACAACTAATTAAGAAACTAAACTCCAAGAAAATATTTCACTTTTATTAAATGTCCACCGCTGTGGAAGTCAGCATATGACATATTTCATAAATCACAAGTCTAAATCCCTGTCAGTCTTTAAAAATGTGTCATATCTGAGAGGTTGCTTTGGGCAGTAAACTGTTTAAAAACAGGCAGAACTTTTTTTCTAACTTGTATCTCTGTGTCTGTGTTTTTGTCCTCATCAGATCCGTATTGCCTCCAGGCTCAACGCCAAGACAGTCCTGGACATCGACAACGCAAAACTTGCTGCTGATGACTTCAAAATGAAGTATGTGTATTATCTGTATCCTCTTGCTTCTGCACCTATTTGCTCGACCACTTCGACAGGACTTTACATGAAGCATGATCTCATGTCTCTCTGACCACTTTTAATCCTACCCACACTAATGAAAAACACTCTGACCTGTCCACCCTGTCCTCAGGTATGAGAACGAGCTGGCCATGAGGATGGCTGTGGAGGCAGACATTGCTGGACTGAAGAGGGTGCTGGATGAGCTGAACATGGCCAGGATGGATCTGGAGAGTCAGTATGAGGCCCTGAAGGAAGAGCTCATCATGCTGAAGAGGAACCACGAAGAGGTGAGGAGTGTAGTAAACAGGCAGGAGTGCTGCACCCATTTAACTAACGCAAGGTTTGTTGATGGCAGTTTGAATGGAGCTAAACCTACGACTTATCATCTATCAACACCCCTCAAACAGATCCTACACTCAGGCCCACACCCACTTTGTGTATATACCTAACCTGAAAGTATGGTACTACGCCAGTGATTAATCGAACTCATCATCATTCATCTTTTAAGCAGCAGAGACCTAAACAGAGCAGCTGTTATCACCGTCCATTACAGCCATCTATTGTGGCCTACCCTGGTCATTATTAGCACACTAAAATGCCCTCCGCCTTACCTCTGATAACGCAGAGGAAAGTCAATGTTAGGTTGATGTTTTGATAAACAGGGCTGCTGCCTTTTCCCGTTCCCAGAACTGGCCCTCTCCACTCTGCACACTTCCTTCATTCTTCCTCCATTAGATCATTGCTTCTGTTTGTCTGACACGAGCTCACTTACACTGACACACACACACACACACACACACACACACACACACACACACACACACACACACACACACACACACACAAACACACAAAAGAGCGGTTACAGAACCCAAAACTGTGAGTGCAACACACTTAAAAGAGAAGCCATCAAGAAGTAATAAATCATTAATTGATCATTTCAGGTTGATGCACTTGTTGACTGACTGGATTGTTGTTGTTTGATGCCTGCAGGAGATGGTTCTGCTGAGGAGCCAGATGGGCGGACAGGTCAATGTGTCCGTGGATGCTTCTCCCTCTGTAGACCTGAACAAGGTGATGTCGGATATCAGGGATCACTATGAGTCTGTCATCGGCAAGAACCGCAAGGAACTCGAGTCATGGTACCAGTCCAAGGTGAGATTATATGACTACGTAGAATAGTGCTTACTTTTAAAGATTAAAACATCTATTTTATTCATGCTGATATGTCTGTGCCTGTAACTGTTGGGTAACCCATGACATGCTGTTTCTCTGCTCTGCCCAGATTGCTGGTATTGAACAGGAAGTGAGGGTACAGACAGAGACCCTGACATCATCCCGCACTGAGATTAAGGACCTGAAGAGTACCCTCCAGAGGCTTCAGATTGAACTGCAATCCCATCTGAGCATGGTATGTCAACATAAAAATGTATAACAATAAACATTTAGTATTTTTTTTTATTAAAATATAGACTGTCCAAAACATGGACATAGTCTCAGTGACATCACCCTTAGTCTCCAACTAACTTTCTGCTAGTCTAGAAAGGTTGGTGGAGCTGAATGAACCTTGGTTGATAGCTACACACTGTCAGTCAGATCAACCACGCCCCTAATTAAGACTAAATATGCATTACTCCGAGCCTTATTATAATTAGAACAGATTATAGAACAGAACCATGCTGTAAAATTATTTATCTCTGCTATAAAAAATGGGCATTTTAATAAAGGGCCTAATGAGGATTCCTTGGTTTTTGGGCATAGGCTGTAAAAAAACATAGACGTACTCTCAGTGGCGTCACCAATTGGTTTCTAAAGCCAAATGATAGCAGTCACCATATTGGAAAAGCTGTCTCAAAGTAGATTTCAGTCAGCCTAGCACCAGGAAAAGAGCTGAGGTAAGCCTCCTAGCAAACAGCTACAATGCACCCACTCGTCACTCAGATAAGCAAGACCAGACAGATGAATTACATACTCGATATATTACTTCACATCTTTATATTAGATATGAATTAACACATAGCAAGCAGGTTTTAGCCTATCTTAGCAGTTAGCATAAAGACTTAAATGCATGCTCCATGACGGCAAGAGTCTAAAAGTAGCGCAGAGAATGCAGAACACAGCACCACATGTTAGTTTCATGCTAACATCCACGTGCCTTGCAGCAGAGTTTACTAGGAACAGCCGATTACAAGCGTCAAGTAACATCTTTTGAGTTCTATTCAACCCAACAATCTCATCCTCCTCCCACAACAGAAAGCGTCGCTGGAGGGTACCCTTGCAGAGACTCAGGCCCGCTACGCTGCACAGCTAGGAAGTCTCCAGAACATGGTCACAAGCCTGGAGACTCAGCTATCCCAGCTTCACTCCAACATCGCCAGCAACAAGCAGGAGTACGACATGCTGCTGGACCTCAAGACCCGACTGGAGATGGAGATTGCAGAGTATAGGAGGTTGCTGGATGGGGAGGATGAGAGGTGAGACTTGACGGCGTCGCACTGAAGACATTGAATGAAACATGTAAAAATGCCTGAGACTAATGTGTTCTCTTTTCTTTTCTTTTTTTCGCTTATATCAGCACAAAGCAAGGTAAGACAATTCTCTCATACCTGGTTTGATCATTAAATGGCTACTTAAGTTTTGGATTGCTTTTAAAGAAAGGTACGAGATTTGCTCACGATTGTTGTTTATTTTATTCTTCAGTGGTCACAAAGGTCATCACAGTGGTGGAGACAGTTGTGGATGGAAAGGTGGTCACCAGCAGCAAGACCGTTGATGTGGACGTTGATGAGATTGAGGGATAAACTTCAAGTAACAGCAAAAATCAATAAAGATCATGCAGTTGAACAAAACTTTCCTGACTCATACTTTTCCATTTGTGTGTTTTTTAATCAACATGACTTGAGTTTTAACAGATTTAAGATACCGTGAGACAATTATCAGACAATTCTACACTTAAAGGGCTCGATATATTTACCCCTTTAGCTGCTAGTTGTTGCATAATGGCAGATTTACTTTGTGGTTCTGTCTAACTACTTGTACAAACCAGTTGTTTTTTGCAAGAAATCTCTCACAAAATACAAATATTTTCACATCTCAACATGCACTAAACTGAAACAGTACTAAGTGCTAAATACAAAACAAGCCCTTGGCTGTTAAAGAACATTTTATATCTAAAGACCCAATTATTGAAGCACTCATATTAATGTGGATATGGCTGAAATAGGATTACATTGTTGCTCTGTATCTGCTAGATGCAAAAGTGTTGGGTGACATTTCTGCAAAAACAGCCACTGTACAATCTGTCAACTAATTGTAGAGTTCCTCTGCCCCAGGGGAAAACAGCACTAACAGACAGTCAAGAGGCTCCATGCCAGTTTTTCTGTCTGGCAAGCTCTCAACTTCTAAATATTGTTTCTGGAGCACACAGGAAAGGAATTCAGGTATGTCTTACACACATCTTCTGCCCTCTAGTGGCCAAACTGGGTTTGATCCAATTTTATGAGACCTGTTCCAGCATGTACTCAGTAGAAGTGAACTACTTGAAGTAAGCTTGACTTGTTGCCAGTCCAGGGAAACAGCCAGAGAGTCAAATCCATGCTCACATTGAAAATGCTATTGGTACATTGTTAGAATATTTGTAGTACTCCATAGGTTTCTTTCTGAATGGTACACTCACTCTATTTGTTGGGGATGAATTCTGCAAAGTAAACATGCTGTTGTTTAAAGCTTTGTTGTAAAATCAGAACAATATCTGAAGCTCACTGGAGTCTCAGAGGAAACTGTTGATGAGAGGAGAGTGTGTTTTTAAACCTGGATTTCCCCCACTTGTATATAAAATATTTTGGAAATTAGATATAAACAAATAAACTCTTGTCAGTCACATAAATCCTTTTTAATACCTGCCAGATACCTAGGGTAACTTTCATGACATGATAATGAAATATGACCTTTTATGAATGAACAGAACAACACAAATTAGAAGGGAGCAAACATGCAGCTTTTATTGCATTCACATGAGTACGTGAAGGACATTTTGGTTCAGGTGTTGTGCTTGTGGCTCTCAGTTGGTGCTCCTTGAACCACTGCCTCTGGTCACACTGCAGAGGGGGAGAATTACAGGGTTTGCATTAAAAATCAGTATACTGCTTCAGTTAAAAGAGCTAGTTATAGGTTAATGATGAAAGAGTTGACAGTTGTTCTTTGAAAGCAAAATTACCTGCCCTCTCCGTCCAAAAGCCTCCTGTACTCTGCAATTTCCATCTCCAACCGAGTCTTGATGTCGAGCAGCATCTTGTATTCTTGGCTCTGGTTTTCAATATCACCACGAAGCTGTTCCAGCTGGCATTCCAGGCTGCACACCTGACTCTGGAGGCCTTGGAGCTGCATGGAGTATCGTGCCTCTGTGTCACACAGTGTGCCTTCCAGAGACGCTTTCTGGAATGAGCAGGGCAAAAAGTAGGAGGAGAGAAGAAAGAGATAGAATCAACTTAAAAACTGGGTACCCTAACCCTAACCCTAACACTTTACTGAGGATGTAACGGGTTGTGCATGAAAGGGTAAAGAAGTATTCAGTTACCATGCTTAGTTGTGATTGTAGCTCGATCTCCAGGCCCTGCAGCGTTCGGCGGATCTCAGTGATTTCTGACTTGGACGTTTGGAGAGTTTCTGTGCTGCTTGCCACCTCCTTGTTCAGTTCCTCTGACTGCAGGGGACAAAAGATATAACCAGTGTCAAATGAAACTACTTAATTTTTCAGAGACAGCCGTAGCAGGTTACTGTTACCAGTGTGTTGGTGTTCTCTCACCTTTGTTTGGAACCAGTTTTGAAGTTCTTTCTGATTCTTGAGAGCTGCAGTCTCGTACTGCTCACGGATCTCAGCCATAATGGCGGACAGGTCTGGCTGTGGTGTTGCATCCACCTCCACGTTAATCTGTCCACTCATCTGGTTCCTCATGGCTGCCAATTCCTGTGGAATAAAAGCAGTTTATTGAGGGATGGATGTTTGTTGATTTGTTAATTGCAGATCCAGTCACATCACTGTTTGCTACCTACCTCCTCGTGGTTCTTTCTGAGGAAGATCAGCTCCTCCTTCAGGCCCTCTATCTGCATCTCAAGGTCTGTTCTGTTCAGTGTCAGCTCATCCAACAGTCTCTTGAGACCGGCGATGTCTGCTTCCACTGATTGACGCATGGCAAGCTCATTCTCATACCTTTGTGGAAGAAGGGAGCAGATATTGTCATTTTAACATTCCTTTACTGCCACAGTTTACATTCTTCTTTGTTTCAGACTTTACTGTCTCATCCTGACACTCACTTGGTTCGGAAGTCGTCTGCTGCCAGTTTTGCGTTGTCAATAGACAGATAGATGCCTCCATTGACACTGGTAGCATCCTGGATCTGTGTGATGAAAAAAAGTTTAAATAACAAATAAGAAGGGTTGCATGGAGAACAATGAAAAGAATGATTACAGTTTCAATGTATCATTTTGGAAATACCTCTCTGATAGTTGCATTTCTCATTCAAGGTCATGTTACATACCTTTCTCTGCAGGTCTGCGATGGTGGCCTCAAAAGCTGAGTAGTCACGGGAAACGGGGGAGGTCTTGCTCTCCAAGAACTGGCGGATCTTCAGCTCCAGCTCTGCATTGGCCTTCTCAAGGCTGCGCACCTTATCCAGGTAAGAGGCCAGGCGATCGTTCAGGTTCTGCATGGTGGCCTTCTCATTGGTCCCGATATCCATGCCCTCACCTGCACCAAAGCCTCCGCCACCAACAGAGTAACTGTAACTGCTGATGCTGCCACCTCCACCTCCACATCCACCTCCACCTCCACCTCCACCTCCACCTCCACCTCCACCTCCATACCTGCCGAAACCCAAGGAGGAACCAGAGATTTTTGTTCCACCGCCACCTGCACCACCATACACACTTCTGGCATATGACCTCTGCATCATGCCTCCACCACCTAGACCTAGACCTAGACCTAGACCTAGACCTCCACCTCCACCTCCACCTCCACACATGCTTCCAGCATTTCCATATCCAGAACTGCGTATGGAATAAGATTTCATTGAGTTCATTGTGAAGGTTTCTCAGGAGGTTTGCCTGCCTTGGAGAAAATGAGATGGACTGAGATGCAGCACTCTACCTCTTCCCCCTTTTTATGCTGCTCAAGGCTGCGGCTGCTGGCTCTGCTGTGGGAGGGGGCGTGTAGGACTGGAGGGAGGAGCATTACCTAAAATGGTTGATCTACCCCACCCATCGCACACACACACACACACACACACACACACACACACACACACACACACACACAAGGTACATTTTATGCAACAATAAGAGGAATTAACGGGGCTAAACTCAAAACTATTCTCTAAAGCAATTTCAGTAATTCATTCCAACCTCACAGCTACCTGAGGACCTCATAGAAAACATCATTATTCTGTTTGTCCTCCTTATTCTCTGGCTCCACAATAATATCCCTGACGACAGGGCATACACTTGAGCCTTTACCTTTTATTTCTGTAAAGTATACTGGAAAATGCAAAAGAGCCGCACCCATTACTATAAGCCTTAGGTTAGTCATTCAGTCAAATCCGGTAGGTTCTCAACTCTGTCAGTGTTCTGACATGTGATGTGTTTTCATTGAAATCGTGCCATTAATCTTGTCCAATACTGCCACACTGTGCTGGTCAAACCTGTTACATCCCCACAGCAACAAGCATTGTAAACACTGTAAATATTATCGCCTATTTTCATTTGAGTCAACAGCCAGCACACCTCTTATCACAGACCTCTTTCTCTTTTCTCTTCTCTTGTCTTGCATGAACAAAACATATATTTTAAGGAGCTGGACCTTTTGATATTCATTGCTGCATTTATTTTTCACATCTTAACTCAACATTTGATTCATTCTCTTCTGTTTTGCTCCTCAAAGCCCTGCTGGTTTACCAGTAAGAAGCAATTTGAATGGACTTTTGAGGAGTCAGTAGATACTTGGCCTTGTTCAAGAGTGGACACAGCTCTGCTGGTATGCTCACCTCAGATGTAGCTGCACGCTCTCTATTTTTTTGGGCAGTGTGATTTGGCATGTGCATCATTACCAAACAAGAACAAGCTCCTGCTTGTTTGTTTTGTTACAATTTACCGCAATATTTGATTAAACTCTTTATGATGTCACTTGGGATTTTTTTATTCAAATGTCTATGAAGCATGAACAATGTTTTATTAAATTAAAACAAAATAAAAGGCATTTATACTTTTCCTCACAGATTTGGTTTTATGTGCAGAGACTGGTAGTTATAAGAATATTGAAAGTATTATTCTTGATATTTTGTGTCTGTGATTAAGCCAAACAAAGAAATACTTTACCGTTACAATCAAAAGTATAGTACAGAAACGTGCAGGCTGAAGTAAAACAAACCAGATGCTTTTTTTAACTGCTGTTTTTCATGGAGAAAGCATTTTAGCACCAACACACCAACTTCTTGTATGTCACAGTTATGTACAGCTGTGTATGGTTTAGGTTTTACTTAAAACAAGTTTTAACGCTCCGTACCAAATGCTGGTGCTTGTTGCAAGTTTGTCTGGAAGCATTTTTCTGCTCCACAAAGTTGCAAAATATGAAACACATCAACCAAATCATTTTTCCAGCTATGTAATATCTGTAGAAAAACAAAGGCGTGAGACACTTTGTCTTTGCACTACTAGCAGAAACAAGTGATGCTGTAAATGTAAGCTTAAATACAGTGAAACAAAAAAGAGAATTTGCACTTTGTGTAAGGGTGTGGCCCTTATGGAGACAACTACGCTGCACAGGCTGCTTTTTTTTAGCTAGGAAGTCTCCAGAACATGGTCACAAGCCTGGAGACTCAGCTATCCCAGCTTCACTCCAACATCGCCAGCAACAAGCAGGAGTACGACATGCTGCTGGACCTCAAGACCCGACTGGAGATGGAGCTCGCAGAGTATAGGAGGTTGCTGGATGGGGAGGATGAGAGGTGAGACTTGACGGCGTCGCACTTAAGACATTAGTGATGTGTCGGTCATGAACGATTCGTTCAAAACGAACGAATCATCTGGGTGACCGAACTGAACTGAATCACTTCCTGAAAAGAGTCGTTCATTTCTCAACTTCAGTTGCGCTCTCCTCTCTCCCGTCTCATATCTCTCTCTAGACCGTAAGAGTTAACATTTATGTGTCGCGAAAATGTTTGTGCTTTTTATAGCTGCTGTCAGTTTACAAACGGCTTTTATATCCAACTTAATTTCACTCAGCTGACTGTTTTAACATCCACTAATGATTGTGTTTCAGTCAGGACAGTGTGTGTGTGTGTGTGTGTGTGTGTGTGTGTGACTGAGGCTGGTGACTCGCACCACCGGCTATTCTCAATACGAACGCGAGCAGAACTAAACGTTCGGTCGTGTTTCAGCTTATTAAATTCTGATTCACAGGCAGAGCTGCAGAGAAGTACTGAACCATTCGGTGAACGAATCTTTTGAACGACTCACTTTACTGAACTGATTCTAATGATTCAGTACACTGAAAAGAATTGCTTTTCACATCACTAGAAGACATTGAATGAAACGTGTAAAAATGCCTGAGACTAATGTGTTCTCTTTTCTTTTCTTTTTTTCGCTTATATCAGCACAAAGCAAGGTAAGACAATTCTCTCACACCTGGTTTGATCATTAAATGGCTACTTAAGTTTTGGATTGCTTTTAAAGAAAGGTACGAGATTTGCTCACGATTGTTGTTTATTTTATTCTTCAGTGGTCAAAAAAGTCATCACAGTGGTGGAGACAGTTGTGCATAATGGCAGATTTACTTTGTGGTTCTGTCTAACTACTTGTACAAAACAAGCCCTTGGCTGTTAAAGAACATTTTCTAAAGACCCAATTATTGAAGCACTCATGTTAATGTGGATATGGCTGAAATAGGATTACATTGTTGCTCTGTATCTGCTAGATGCAAAAGTGTTGGGTGACATTTCTGCAAAAACAGCCACTGTACAATCTGTCAACTAATTGTAGAGTTCCTCTGCCCCAGGGGAAAACAGCACTAACAGACAGTCAAGAGGCTCCATGCCAGTTTTTCTGTCTGGCAAGCTCTCAACTTCTAAATATTGTTTCTGGAGCACACAGGAAAGGAATTCAGGTATGTCTTACACCAGTGGTTCTCAAACTATGACTCCCTGTGGTGCTACGCAAAGAAATCTCCACAATATATATACAAAAACCTGTTCAGCATAAAACGACAATTTTTTATTTTTTTTGTCGTACTCGTATCTTATCTGTCTTGTATCTATTGGGTTGTATTTATATCAAATATGTTTTCCCCTCTAAATTTTTTATCTGCTCAATTTATGCTCGCACACACACAGACCCAAACAACAACAGGAGTACACTCCGCGTTTTGAAAAGTTCCACTCTATATTCCGTTATAGTTCAGTACTGAATCAACAGCAAGCAGCTGTAGGTCTACATTAACATAATATCTGTTAATGTAGGCCTACATTAACAGATATTATGTTATTTATTGGAGTTCAGTACACAATCGGTAGTAAGCAGCTGTACATTTACATTTTTTAAACGGAGCCAGGAGAAGCTTCAGTTTTGATGCATGTACGGACAGTGGACCTTATCGCTCCCCCTCCCTCTCTCTCTCTCTCTCTGTAGCTCTGAAGCTGATGTGATTCTGCTCTCTTTTGTTGTCTTAACACTCGAGTCGAGAGGGATTTTTTTTAAAAAGGCAGTTTTGCTATGTTGAAAGCAGAGACTTATAATAAAGCGGCGCTGTTTGCACCGAGCCTGCAGAGCGCGCGCCTGCACTCTCACGCGCTCTCTCTCTCTCTCTCTCTCTCTCTCTCTCTCTCCCTCCCTCTCTATCTCTCTCTCTACTCTCTATCTCCCGCTACATCTCGTTCTGTCAGGCACGCAGCACTTTTATGAATAAATGAAAAATTAAATAAGAACAGGTCGGAAATATACTTGGGCCTAGGTATCGTCTTTGTTTGGGAAACACTGGAGACTAAATATTCTCAAACAGGTTGTTGGTATAAAGTTGTCATTTTTATTGTGCTGCATTTTTTTGGATTTGGGTAAATGTCAGTGTTGTGTGGAGTGCCAGTTCTAGCTCTATCCCTTCGTAGGCCTACAGCGTGGCTTCCAGAAGTCAATAATAAACAATATTATTTTTATGAATTAATTAGTCTTGCGTAAAATGTGTGTTGAAAAAGGCCTACAGTGTATTTTAACATCTACCATAATGGTGGTACTCGGAGAGCCAAACATGTTCGGAGGTGTTTGAGAACCACTGTCTTACACACATCTTCTGCCCCCTAGTGGCCAAACTGGATTTGATCCAATTTTATGAGGCCTGTTCCAGCATGTACTCAGTAGAAGTGAACTACTTGAAGTAAGCTTGACTTGTTGCCAGTCCAGGGAAACACCCAGAGAGTCAAATCCATGCTCACATTGAAAATGCTATTGGTACATTGTTAGAATATTTGTAGTACTCCATAGGTTTCTTTCTGAATGGTACACTCACTCTATTTGTTGGGGATGAATTCTGCAAAGTAAACATGCTGTTGTTTAAAGCTTTGTTGTAAAATCAGAACAATATCTGAAGCTCACTGGAGTCTCAGAGGAAACTGTTGATGAGAGGAGAGTGTGTTTTTAAACCTGGATTTGCCCCACTTGTATATAAAATATTTGGGAAATTTAATATAAACACTCTTGTCAGTCACATAAATCCTTTTTAATACCTGCCAGATACCTAGGGTAACTTTCATGACATGATAATAAAATATGACCTTTTATGAATGAACAGAACAACACAAATTAGAAGGGAGCAAACATGCAGCTTTTTATTGCATTCACATGAGTACGTGAAGAACATTTTGGTTCAGGTGTTGTGCTTGTGGCTCTCAGTTGTTGCTCCTTGAACCACTGCCACTGGTCATACTGCAGAGGGGGAGAATTACAGGGTTTGCATTAAAAATCAGTATACTGCTTCAGTTAAAAGAGCTAGTTATAGGTTAATGATGAAAGAGTTGACAGTTGTTCTTTGAAAGCAAAATTACCGACGGAGCAAAACCGTGGCGCTGACGGACCACGGTGCGCACAGAGTATGTGTCCTATCCCCCCCA